CATAGTTTATATGGTTAATTATTGGACTAAAATATTACTAAGCTAATGTAATATGTAGTATTATTAAATTAATATCGCTACTCCTCTTTCGTGGTATGTAAACTATTAAGCTGTGATATAAAGTATCCTCGCTCTCCTCAATGGCGCTAGAATCATTTGAGGAAGTCGTAGCTTCCGCACCCCCGCTTATAGAGGAAAACTAAATTAAGCATAAAAAATTTTTCTAAAAACGTAGCAAATTTAAAAATTTCAAGATTGGTAGATGATATTGCCTTTCAAAAAATACTGGTAGGGGAAGAATCGATGAATGGCAGATGATGTTGGTAAACAAGTACTTTAACGTATGACCGCCTGCTCCTACTTTTCTCTTGCTTTACGCGAGAGTTGCAATGTGACTAACAATGCACAATTGTGCATTTATATGCGTTCTGTCAGCGAACAATTTGATACCACAGAAGAACTTCTAGAGATTTGGCAGCTAAGTTCTAGTAAAGATGTTTTTTTTTTTCGTTAAAGAAAGTTGTAATTAATCGTCGATTAAACTAGGAGAAATTAGTTAGTGTATGTACAGTTGGAGCTCCGAAAATGACCAGAAAGGTAAATGTGTTTGTTAGAAGAGTTTAAGACGCAATGTTTTTAAATACTACTACAATATTTACTAAGAAGCTCTCTGTAGCAAGGATATGAAATTTTGTTCTGTGCTTAATCCTGTGATACGACGTAGTAACCACATTCGAGCCAGAGCTCATCTGGGGAATTCTTCCAAATTTTCTATCAAATCCCATTAAATTAGAAGAAAAGTGTGAATTATAATATTAAATTTCACTATTCGATGACTGTCTCGAGGTCAAGCTCTATAAAGGTTTTAAAATTTAAGAAATTTAATTTTGGGGTATTTAATAGAGTAATTAACTCCAGAGTAAGTACAAATTTTATAAAATAGATATTGGTTGTAAAATTTAGCTATTGTGACAAATATTATGGTCATTTTAATAATTTAGAAGAGCGTTTGCAATGCTACACCAATTTTATCTTTTGTTCGATTTGGTTCAATTATTCAAAGTTAAACTGACACTTTCAAAAGAGCATCCGGGTAAAAGCGAACAGCACCATTTTACTCAAATGCAAGAACTGATGGCAGAAATAAAAATGCAAGACTTGACGAAGTTCAGAAGACAAGTCTCACTCTTAAAACAATGGTTTGAAGAGAGATTTACCTATTTTCAGGATTATGTTAAGTATGTGCAGCTTATCACAAATCCTTTTTTAAATTTTATCTACCGAAGTTGCTATTTTTTTTTATCCAGCTCACCTTCAAGTGGTATTTTTAAAGTTGGAAAATCACATAGTATTGCATGGAAAATTTAAGGAAAACTTGAAGACCATCTTGTCAAAAGTTTGCCTCTATTTGGAAATTTCTTCCTAAGGAAGGTTTTTCCATTTTAATTGAAATGCACTCCGCTACTCTTATAAATTTACCTCCACTTATAATTTCGAGCAAACATTTTTAAGTATGAATTTTTAAACAATAAATATCGCGCGGTATTAACCGACGAACATTTGAAAAATCTCAATCTTGGGCCCTCACATATAGACCCTACTAGGAGAAACTAAAACAGATGAAGCAAATTAAAAGGCCACGTTAATGTTTAAGTGGAAATTTCTCAATATTGTAAAAAATTGCTGTTTTCTTTAACATAAACATAAGTATATCTATATTTTATTTACAAGCACCTTGTAATAGAGTGATTTGTGTTAATGTAGTTTTTTAGTAGTTTATAGTAGCAATCTAGTTTAAGGTTGATTACGGGTAGAACAACTGGGAAAGTGTTTCGTTTTACATTTTTTATATTAATATGGTTGACAGGGAAATTATTTTACCTACAAAAAAATTAAGTAAAAACTTTTTTATTTGTTCAGATGAAATAGTAGGGTAGGGGTACATATGCACTACGTTTCAGAAGAATGAAAAAGAATTGAAAAAGTGGCACTCTAGGACAAAAGGGTTGGCCCCCCCTTAATATACATGTTACCCAATTTTGTATTAAATTATATACCAATATATTGTGCAAATAGCGCGCACAATATTTTTGAAGCGTCTCTTAAGTCAAAAAAAATTAACGCCTGTTTAGGCAAGCCAATTGGTTTGACCTCGCGTTAACCTTATCCAGCTCAATTATATGCTGTCGTTTTGAATCTTATAAGTTGTTATGGTTGTTTAGTTTCAGGTCAGCCAACTAAGTTGGGTTAGTTTAGTGGTAAAACAAATAAGCTTAACAAAATAATATACCAGAAACATAAACTGCTATCACTTAATTAAGCAAAAACATAAAGTTTCATTTCTAATTTCGTTTATAAAGAGATGTAGTGAAAGTGTAGCTGTTAGAAGTGCACTTCTAACAAAAGTAATTAAAAAGGGGTGCATTTATTGGAAGTATAAAAAAAAGTTTATACAAGTTTCGTTCGTGTATATTTAAAAGAATGTATAAGTCAAATGCAGATTATTTGGATTTTATTAAAGAACTGCTATTTTATAAAAAAAAATTTGGTAAAGTTAATATTGCTATCAGAAAGCGAATACGCTTACTGTTACCCAGCAACGCTTTTACTCTTACAGTTGCCTACTAGTTCTAAATGGACAGCATACTTAAGTGAACTATTTTAAGACTTTAAGCGCATAGAGAACTACATTTTCTAAACTCAACTTCTTTTGTCGGGAAAAAGGTGTTATATTTATGTTATTAACCCAAAACAGCTAACTCATTACCCGAAAATTGAACGTTCTTAAAAACCTGATCCTCTAGGCACAAAAAGACACGTATTCTCGAGTTGTCTATGCAATAGGTTTAGGAAAGAAAAGTCAGTTTCAAATTACTTTTCTTAAGCTGTAATAGTCATGTTAAAGTCTAAGCGTTCTTTTTTTCCAGTGATACCATAACTATTTCCTAAACTGTTCTGAGACTCTTTTTCTGTATCAGTCTTATGTTGTTAATGGGAGTGGAGATAATTAAACCATTTTGACATAACGGCAAAAAAGTGTCACTAGTTTAATAATATTGATGCCCAGTATCTGCCTTCAGGTTTTCTTTAATATCTTGGTTCTCCCGAAAACAGTATATACTAACTATGCGCTCTGAACTTTTGCAACTATAAAGAACCAACGGAATAATGCAATACTTTAAGTCTGCATATTGATTAACCTGGCCTCCACTGTTCAAATTTAAAATAAAATAGAACTTTATTCTCCAAGGAGGCCTCTCTAAGGCTAGGAATGAAAAAAAGCTTAAGCTCTTAATTCGCGTTTTTATGTTTTCCCTATTTTCACCCTGGTTTGATTTTTTTAACAAAAAGTTAAAAAACTTGGGAAAAAAAATAAGAGAGCGCCTAAAAAGTAGGAATTAAAAAAATGAAAGGACAACGAGAGTTAAATTTAAAATAAATTTCACCATTAAAGCAACTATAAAAGAATAGGGTAAAAAATATTAAACCTTAAGTATAGAGCAAAGTACTTAAAGGTTAGCAGACAAGGCCATAAGCAAAAAAGCGATGGTCGAGAATTAGCAAAGAACAAGCAAAAAAGGTTAGAACAATTGCAACTTGTAAAGGTCGCCCAAGCAGACAGTACCAGTAACATTAATAAATAGACTTGTTAGTACCAATTTAAAATCCTTATTTTTTTTTAATAGTTGCAAACCGCTAGCCCAACTTAAGGGGCCAGAAAATCGTTTATTAAATTATTACATCGAGAAGCCCCTACACAGGTTTTTGCTAAACAAATATATTTAGTTTCAGTAGAGCACCCCGTCAAACTTGTCACAGCATGAGATTTAGCCGAATATGAGATTTTGTACTCCTTAGGTCACGCTGTATATTAATTTTTATTTATTTCTATTACTAGTTCTTTATCGCCTAAAGTTCCTTTTCTTTTTAATATATGTTTTATAGCTCTCAAAAGCAATAATATACCTATTATTAGTAGTAGCAATTTTTACCTTACTTTCTTACTTTTATTTATTGATACCACTTTATTTATATTTGTTATATCAATGTGGCGTTGATGAAAATGTAGGAGCGTCGTATATGTTTCCTTATTTTTAGTAAATTAAAGGCAAACGATATGAAGACCTTGCTACACTTAATCTGAGCCGTAACCTCAAAACTTTATGTATAAGCTTACTATTAAGTATAAAAATTGTTCTAGACTAGAAATTTAAGTTGAAAAGATTATAAAATGACTGTTTTTACATACTTTTAGTAACCTTAAGTTTTTTGGTTATTTGTTCCTTTGACTTGAAAATTTTTTCTGTTTTTAGAATTGGGGGGTGTTCACTTCTTTTTTTAATTTTAAGATTTAGGTTCTGCTTGTAAGTTTAGTTTCCCTTTTTATTTATTTCTCTTTTTTGTGAATTATTCCTTTATATAGGGCAGACAGATAATTGGAGAGAAGGTTTCGCTCTTATTCGTCGTGTTTAGCCACGTATCCGTCGCTTAAGGATTGAGAGAGGCAAACGCCTTTCATTTTAGCTCCTTGCAAAAAAAAATTTGTAGAACAGTTTGTAGTGTTCTCATATTTCTTTACAAAAGCACAGGGGCTTATGTTTAATTATTAATATAATTATCCTGAATCGTTTATGTGTCATAATAAAAAAAAGACAAAATAACCCCGAGGAAGTTGGGATTTGTTATCAGCCCTTTCGCGAAAATAAAATTTATAAAGTCAAGACGGAAAAGCAAGCATATTTGCTATTTTACCAAAAGGCATGGTCCTGTTTTTATGACGAAGTTATTAGTTCCAAAATTTCAAGAAATTCGCTCATTATTAATTTAAATGATTCTAGGACAGTACTCTAAGTGCTAGAGAAGTTCTTAAAGGTAGCTTTAATAGTGTTATCAAATAGTAGTCGGCCGGATACTTGAGGAGGCTAGGTAGTTAACCGGTAGTAACACTATGATATCTTTCCGGCGGTTATAAAGCAAATTTAAAGGTTTACAATGTCTATAGTTGTTCAGTTCTACCAAAACTAACTTAAAAATTAGTAAATTCTTTTTCACAAGGTTAGCTATAGGCTACAGTTAAATAAAAGTAAGAAAATAAAACAAGGCAGTTTTATTATCCCACCAATCCATATCCATATTGGCCTGAAAGTGGACAGCTTCTGGGTAATCCCGATAAAAATTTCGAATAATCTCCGCTATATTGCCTCTTGAACAAGATTCAAGGCGCAAAATATATTTTTTATGCTTTTTTGGACACTTGAATGGCGTTTGAGTAAAGTTTGTATAATTTTTATTAGGAGGACTTTCTAAATGCCTTTTATTATCTGACATAGGACCTTCCTCTAAAAAATCCGGGTATGCATCCTCTTTATATTTACCTCTCAAAATACTCGCTGCCGGGCAAGATTGGAGAAGGGTATGCAACACTCTTTCCAGTAGGATTCCTTGACTATTCTTTAAAGCTACGGCCCATTTTTTTAAAAGTGCTAAATCTATATGGAGCGGAAGCGAGCCAAGTGTACCTAAGCAGAAGAAAAAAACAAAAACTCGAAAACAAGATAGTGGAGGGGAACAAAACTAGCTAACCGACGTCGTTATCAGAGTGAGAGAGAAGACCGTGAGTTGTGCCTCTGTCAAGTGTTATCACTTGCACTGCGTAAAGAGTGTGGTAGTAAAGCTGACACTCCCAAGCATCAACAGTTACACTAGCCAAAGGAAATTTACAGAGCCGACTCCGAGCGATTTGGGCGTATAAAGAGATGACTTCTTTTGCTAATTTATTCGCCAGTTCCTGACAGTTTTGGTAACAAAAGGCCACCTGGCATATACAACTAAAACTTTAAACATACACAATTACATGGGACTAGAAAATATAAGCAACCGGCTCGGGTCCTACTTGGGCTCTACGCAAAAGATCATCATCTAAGGATGCTATAAAAAGGTGGCAGGTACCACGCCGGCGGTTCAACGCTGGTATAAAAAAGTATTTATCACCAAATTCGAGTGCCACAGAAAGAAGCTTGCAAGGAATCACGGCTTTCAAAATCTCAAGTTAAAAATAGCAAATAAATGACTTTAACCCCAAAGAATATTGTAAACTAATTTCCATATACATATAAAGAAATATACTAAATAGGTTAAATTATCTAAAAAAAATAATAATAATAATAACCAAACTAATTAATATAAACGATAAATAACAATCAAATATCATCTAAAAGATATTAGTGCTCTAAATACATTTTATGATAAATTTACAGATAGTAAAAAAAGCACGGATTCTACACCATAGCCCTTATAAAGCAGTGTTTAACTCAGAGATGAGCAAGTTTTTAACCAGGTAACCCAAAGGATACCCGCTCACAGCTAGTATAAAGTCTTTTCCTTCGCTAGGACAGGTAGGAAAAGAAAGGAATAAAAGTGTAATTCAACTTAAATTTTCGCTTAAACATACTTTAAAATAAGTTTCAAGTTCTTAAAATAACTACCAAAATTTAATAAGTACCTTTAAAAATAAGTTTTTATCTTCTTCAAAAGGAATGGAGGGATTTATATCTGCTATCATTCTCCAATACCCTTTAAGTGTAAAAACAAACTATTATGTATAACAAATAAAGTATAAAATAAACTTACCAAGTTTATTTTTGGCACTAAAAAAGCTTATGTGAAAATGAAGAGATGGCATAAATGGATTGCTGAGCAGGAGTATAAGAAAATTTTTTTAAGATTTTATTCAAAGACTCACGCTGGATGTATAATTGCTGAGAGCGCTGTGGCAGAAGAAACTGACGATGAGGTGGGATTATCAAAGTAAACATGGGAAGCATTGATCGTTGCTCTGTTAAAAACCTCAGAGTTTTCAACTTGATATCTTTTCCCGCCACCGTTTTTACCTTGATTTCTAAACCATTCCACGACTTCAAACGTAGAGCTACTAAAAAGCTCGAAACATAAAATGATAAAAACCTTTAAAAGCTCAGTACATCGTATTGTCAGTATAGCTAGCGCCTCCAGGGTCAACGCTTTGAAGAATATCGTGAAAGTACTTTTGCAATTCAAAGATAAAATCTTTCATAGCGGGTGTGGGGAATTTGTCCTTTAATAAATGACTTAATAAAAAAACTATAACTAAAAATCATATCTTTGTTGTAAATATCGATATTAACTAAAATAAATTAAATCCTAAAACTTTACTTTTATTGACTAGTGCTATAAAAAGTGTAAGTGAAAACCTAAATCGCTCCCAAAACCATTAAGTCCTGTATCTCCAAGGAGGACAAAAATCATGCAAATGTGTTAGATTCTTCCATCCATGCCGAAAAGCATTAAGGCGAACGAGCATTTATCATGTTAAGAGGTCCTTCCCCCCAAAAGTAAACTTTGTCTCCTTAACTTTTAGCGTACTTATGTAATAGAGAACAACCAAAAAATAAAGTTAGAGCGAAGTAAGTTTACTTTAGTGGGCATCTAATAGTTATAATTTTTTTTATCAATTCTTTTAAAAACCCGAATATGAAAGGTTATTTCGGGTATTGAGCTTGTCATTTAAAGTACATAGTAGAACTTTCTTCCGCTTAATGGTTGTTATGTAGGCTCTGCAAATAACATGATTATAGTAATTACTATTTTAATGATAGCCCCTAGCATTATTACTAAGTTACTGAGATTTTGAAAGCATTAATTTTAAATTTTACCGGCTCTTAAGGAAAAATATATTGTCAAAGTTGCATTGATACAATTAAAAAGTAGAAACAATATTAACGCTCTTACTAGATATTAATGATTTCGACAGCGTTAAAGAGCTATTTCATGTCATCCTAATGCAGTTTTCAGTGTCCATTAAGATAACGCAATCTCTCGTAATGTGCGTGAGTATCACATTATTTAAATTAAAATTACAAAGCAGATAAGGTTAAGTGTAAACTATTCCCTATTAAATTTACTACAGAAGCAGAGTTTTAAAGAATTTACGATTTTAGTTTAATTTTACGTGGTACGTTCTTGTATGTTAATGAAATTAAAAGTGTATAGCCCATTTTTGTGTTATTTAAGCCGGTTATAAATGAAGATGAAAACGGAAGTCACAAAGTATAGAGTTACTAATGTTAGATGAATTACGCTAGGTAGCAATGAACGTAGAACTAGATCGTGGGAAAAAGGAAAATAAACGAGAACACCAAAGTTATGAATATCGTAGAAGTAGAGTTAAGATGAGCGCAGAACAAAAATTAGAAAACAGAACTTAAAACACGTGAAGATAGCACAATTAGTATAGCTAAATTCGTTCCGCCCCAAAGAAAGACGTTTAATTTATATACCTGCGCTGAAAGGTGTGCTGTTGCCATAACATTTTGAGGGCTACCATTGTAGGGTAGGCATTACATTTTTAATTGGTAATCAAAATTTAACAAAAGTCAAGCTCGTTCACCGCAAAGATTTTACAGAATGTTCACGCTATATTTGCATTTTTCTAACTCCTACGAACTTTCACAAAGCATGAACCACTCTAGGACGACGACAACGTAGTTCACGCGTTATAAGAAAGCCTAAAGTTTTTGTGGTAACTTAAAAGTGTTACATGGAAGCGATCGCAAGTTAGGACCACAAGAAAGGGTAACAACTTAATGCTGAGAAGATTAAAGAATCATTTAACTCAGTAAAGAATATTGCACTGCCTCCACCTCTTATATGAGGTTCCAGGAAGTCATACGTAAATTTCTAGTTAACAAATTTAATGAGTGATGCCCATCACAGCATACTGTCAGGGCAGATTAAGGCAGCGCCAAGCAGGCAATTCACCCAATACTAGGGGCCAAAAAAGTGTTAACCTTTGCGCAGAGGGTAGAGCTTGCACGTGATATGTACTACCGCTAATAAAGCCGAATCTTCACTGCATAAAACATTTGACGCAGCAAAATAACTGCTGTGATTGCTAACCAGTGCGCTGTATTTTATGCGCAACGACACTAAGCTTGTGGGCCCAAGTATTTAACTTACATTTTCTTGAAGCCCTAGTAATCGCTTACTTGGGCCCAGTAAAGAGACTTTAAATCGTCGCTGGACAATTAAAGTTTTATATCTGCTGTGAATTGGCAAACATTATAACTAAAATTCACGATAATTTTTAACGCAATTTTTATATTTACAAGTATTTTACGGTCGAGATTAAATACGCAACCATTAAAGACCGAAAAGGTAGCCGCCTTAGTGGGAATCGAATTCGCAACCTTAAGTTTACGCATCAATGCCCTTAAACCGCTGAGCTACGACGGCAACTCTCAAAAGCGGTATGTCGAATCCATGTATGTAAACTGTTAGCCTGCCTTGTATATGTAGTTATGCGGCGAGCAACTTAAAAGTTATTAAAAAATATATATAGAAAAAGTTATAATGGAGGTTTTATGAAGCACTAACAATTCCAATTGGTGTACTCCGTGCACAGCTAACTTTTTATCATGAAAAAGTTTTAACCACTTTGTTTGTATAATAACTGGCTATATTTTTACATTTTCTCATGTATATTACTATTTACTTGCCTTTATTTTTTACAAATATAATATTTCATCACACTCACTTCCTTTTAATAATATATATAAAACTTATAAAATATATATACAATTAGTTTAGCATTCAATAATTATTATATAAGTAAAATTTTTGTTATACTATAAGTAGGAGCTAATCAAGACGATAGCTTACTAAACAAAATATATAAAAATCTTTATGTTATAAATCGCAGTCTCCAAAGACCAAAAAGAGGGCTGCGTCGGTGGGAGTCGTACTTACGACCTTGAGTTTAGGCGTGCAGTGCTCTTAAGCTCTAACAACTCTCACTTCAGGTATGATAGATTTACATATCTGTCCTGTTACCCCTCACTGTGGGTAACCGTAGTTTTAGATTGTTAAATGAGTGGTGTAACAACTTCTTAAGACTGACAGTACGGAAATTATTTTATTTTACAGATTGCCAAGTAAAAAGTTGTTAAAAGAAGATTAGTTAAATTGCTTTGCATCTTTAACTTGCTACTTTTATTTAGAAGAACAACTCTCAACTTTAAGTCTATCTACGACTCAGTTGTAATGCCAAACCAAACGGTGGTGTAACATTCTGGTATATAAGATAGAAAGTTACGACGCTATAATACTGGCGCCATCCGAGCCCACTCATCGCCCTACAAAGGGCAGCGCCATAGGGCATCAATATTTGTAACAGTTGTCACTGCAGCGCGACTCATAGTCCTATATACATATTAAGATGAAAGACCAATTTTTAAATGGTAACCTAAAGCGTAAGCTCACTCATTGGTCAACTATCTAAACTTTATAAATTCGGTAAAAACACAATGACACAAAAACAGGTAAAATAAATATTAATATACACTTATTACTAGTTGTCTGAACTGATTACAAATATAAAGACCAATGCAGAGGGCTACCTTATTTCTTCTGAACTTAAGCTACTAAATTTTTAAAAGAAAGTGCTCTAAGAGGTTAATTGACAAGAGCCTATATAAGGAAACACTTTACCATTAAAAAAAATGTTTAATAAATGGCTGTCTATCAACTCAAGGATTTTAACTTCCCATCTTAACTTCCTCCCCCACAACCGCTATATCTTGACAAAGCATCTATCTTTGTGGAGTGTTCCCACATAAACATACCTTTCATCTTCTCTCTCTAAGTTGAGCTAGGTTAGATCTCTTTTTGGCCATTGAAACCGTCAAATAGTCATGCCTGTAGTAATGATAACTAGCGTTTTCAACAATATTTTTAAACAAATAAATAAATGTTAGTTTTCCAACACATTATATTATTTTGTTTAAACCTACTTTTGCCCTTTCAAGTATCATTTTTCTTTTTTTTCTTCTTTAAAAATTGTTTCCATTCAAAAGCCTTTTTAAAGGTGTAAAGTGTATGCAATTATTAATCTTTGGTATAATTAAAAATTTTTGGCTTTCTTAGGGTTGCAGGGGCGTTCAAAGCTAAAGCATCCTCTTGGGTAGACAAGCTTTTGCCTGTTAACAACTTGGGTTTATCCTTGTTAAGGTTACAATAGCTTTTCTAAAAAGAACGATATGAATAATAAAGAAAAATAGATAAAAATCCTCTTTATTAATTAGAGAATTTATATGATAGTAGCTTAAAAGAAGACAATAACGCTTATGTTTCCTAAATATACATTGGGAGGTCCAAAATACAAGTACAAATACTAAGTACCCGCTAAACTTTTGCAATTGCCTTTATAGTAACTATTCGTACTTTTATTACCCATTGTTACCAGAAAGGACTATAGGGTTATATTTTTTTTGTTTTCAATGTAGCCTTTCTATACATAGAGTCAGTTATCATTTTTTATTCTTGGTATTTAGTGGGCTTATTTTTTATACAAACACTTGAAGATATATAACGCTGATATTAAGCTAACATTCTAGTGTAACAATGCAAGTTCTTTTCATATTGCAAAGTTATAGGAGCGATAAAATTGTTATATAGAAGTAGTGATCGGCCTAACGGAATTGCAAAAATATTTGTTTTATTTTTGGCTGCGAAGGCTATATAGCTTCTTTAAACGATAGCGGAGGAATTATTCAGTAATTATTTTGTATTACACCCTTAAAAAAAATTTGTTTAGGTAATTGCGTTCTAAGTACTCCATTTTGAGTTCCTTTTTATAAAGACGCTTAAGCTACATAATATGTGGTGCTCCTCATTCACTCGGAGGGTGCATAGCACATGTACGCGGCAGCTAGGCAAATTAATAGAACTCAGTTTGTTTCAATTTGCTTAGTACCTGTTTACTACGATTGCAGGAATTTATTTACAAATGAAACAAAAAGAGAGTACTGAATCGGATTGTAACATTGATAGTACGTTTATATATATATTTATTTATTCTCATCTATTTCATATTTTGCGCTTAAGGTTTTCCTCCAGATCTGATTTCAACCGAGTTTTTTCTGAAGCTGGAATTACATCCTATTTTTAAAAAGTTATGGCCTCATAAAGATTTTTCTAATGTTCAGTTAACACCTCAGAAATTAATTGTGGAAATCTTTCACGAGTACATAAGAAAGTTTAACTACGATTCAAGACTTCAGTCGCTGTTAGGTAACTTAACTATGTATTTTTAGTTACCATATGTATTTTAACTTTATTTTATTTGTAGAGTAATTTTATTAACTAAATTTATATTTGCCGTCATTGTAGAGTACTCTCGCTACTTAGAGAATTTTCTTTGGCCTCATTTTGATAAGGATGCACCTGATGAACTTTTTCTTTCCATTGTTTTAGTAATAAATCAGAAAATAAGGGAGGGGGTTTGTCCATGGTCTACAGTCACTGGGATTGTAACGGCCGATGGAGTACCATATACATTTTCTGGTTCTTTTATTTACAAAGTTTATTATATTCCCCCTCGCCTTGTAGGAACTTTTTGAAGGGACAAGTGACCCTGTTTGCCGTCAGAAGTTCTCTTTCCTCTTTTTTAAAACTTTAGGAATCTTAAGCCAAAGAAACGGTTATTAACCTAATATGTCTGTTTTATTTTAGACTTTATTTTTTTAGAACTTTTTATATACGACTATTTCTTGGTTTACAATAAATCTGGTTCTTAAATTCAGCTTACTTGTGCCCCCACGATAAAATTGCGCTAGTCGTCTTTTTTATTAACTGCTTTAAAAGTTTAGAAAACGAAGTTGTTCGCTTGAATGTTTTGCCTTCGGTATTATTAAACCTGCTTATTTGGAATGTTAGCATAAAAACTTAATATCTACTGTATAGGTTTCTCTCGGCATTTGGGATAATCTACCTCCATCAAAACTCGAAAAAGAACTTTCCTGTTCTAAAAAGTTGTATTTTTATAAAAAATAATTAATTTTACTTTCTAATCTGTTTTTTACAGATTGAAAACTGCCTGGGGTAAATTGCAAAGCAGATTGCAACTTTTAAGCGAAGAAGAAAGAGGTCTTCTTTATCTTATTATGCGTTATACTCGCTTTTAATTCGAGACTAACATTTCATAGAGCAGCGAAAAAGAGCGGGCCGTTTTCTTTACGAGATTATAGATGAATTATTTTTGATATTTGATAAGTATGACCTTTCTCTAGCTGATGTCTCCGCTGAGAAGGTCAGCGAATTAGAGATCCAACTCGCTGAGCGCATTGTTGAACTACTTGTCGATCTTCAAAGTCAGGTGCACCTTTTACTTGGGGATCGTAGTCACTACCACCTAAATCTTATTGTATTCATATATTTAGCTGCCCACTCGGAGGTACACGCATCTTGTCATTGACTACAAACACGTAGTAGTAAAATGTATGCGTTCAAAATTTTCTGCGGCGCTCTCCAAAGATGTGTTTTTTTTTTTATTAAAAATTTAGCGATAGCTTTATAGCCCTTGTTCCTTAGAGCGTTTTTAACCGTCTGGTCGAGCTTCTGCGTTTTTATATGGGCTTTGAAATCAACAACATTACAGGCGCTGCTCTTACGGAGACGGAAATGGTATTTTTTTATATTTGCGTACTCTCTTTTTATAATATTGTTTTGTAAAGGAGGCGCTTCATTACGGCGCTATTAAAGAACTCCAACGGCTTGCTTTCACCGACTTTCCTGAACTTGAAGAATTAGCCATGACTAGCGTGTCTAGCATCGACTCCAAAGTTTATAAGAACAGAAATGTTTTATGCTTGTTTTCGATTATTATATTTCTCAGGAAAAGTTGCTTGTTCACTTGAAACCGCTTTCGGACGAACGGCTCCTAGAGCTGGCGCAACGGCTGTACCTGGTGCCAGCTGCAACCTCCGTCGACCGCAATTTGCTGTGTGACGTCATAACTGAGAAGTACGTGAGGCGGATGAGCCAGATCGACGGTTGAACTTTTCTGTTATTCATTTGACCAGCGTGTATTAATGATTTAGCTTTGACTTTAGCCATCAATAGGACTCCCCTCTTTCCTTCGGAAGACACATTGTTTTACAGTAACATTCCCGATAAATACTTCGGAGATATCTGCTTAGCCTTGCCTAAACTTAACCTTCAGTTTTTGGTACATGAAGCCTTGTGCAGTTTCTTTTTCATCGAATTAATAGTCTTTTCTTATGCAGACGCTACATGACTATCTGTTGCGTAACTTAAATCTCTTTATGTTGGAGAGTTTTTACGAGATTCGGGAGGATATTATAGATGTGATCAAGAGAATGCCTGCTTAGTACGTTTGCCCCCGGTTCTCGTTGTTGATCCTCTCGCTTTGACTACTAGCGCTCGCTAGCACCGATGGCGAAGGGCGGACCCACTTTGGGGGATGGGCGCGCATGGCGGTACAGATGGACACTTTTTCTATTGTGGAGGTCGCCAAACCCAATTTGGGCGAGTTTAAGCCTAGCAAAGTAGCGAATCCTCTTTTGATTGGCAAGGGAGTTAGCAATTTGCGTGTGTATTTGCTTCAGGTCAGAGCGGATATCTCGTTTGACACCAGTCTGCTTCGCGCCAACATAAAGACTGAGTGGGACAATTTAAGAAGACATGACGTGCTTTTTTTGGTAGCAATTCAAGGTGAGTCTATCGCGATCTATTGTTACCGTTCGTTCAGAAACTTACTTTCCTTTTAGGAAGCCCGCATCGCATCGGCAAGCCCGACCCCAAGCACCCCTTTTTGCCTCAAGTACATCTCTTGTTTTTCATTTCCTTAAAGGGGAGGAGGAGTTGACAGTTAATTTTAGCGTTACGGCGTCCAGTATGTACGGGGGTGCGAAGTTGAGGGTTACTTGGACAATGACGGTACTTCCATTTATCATTTGTATAAGGCTCTCTCTATCTATATATCAACTTTGCACAGGAAGCTTGTACGACGACGCCTACGAAAAGCCAAAACAGTTCAAGGGGCCTATCCGCACCTTGCGCGTGTGGCTAGACACCAATCAAGTACGTAGTTAGGTTTTAAGAATGATTCAGGCTTCTACTCTAAACACACTATTCTTATTAAGTACTTTCAAGATATAAATGGCGACAAGCAGGATGCTTATGACCATCTTAACTTGATTATCCGGAGGAAACCTAAAGAGAACAACTTCAAAGCAGTACTTGCGACCATTAAGGACCTTATGAATACCCATTGCGTCGTGCCCGACTGGTATCAGAATACCCTTAGATGATTTGGGCACCACGTCATTTCACTGCTTTTATTGAGGCTTCACGATGTGTTTTTGGGCTATGGTGCTCCCGACTCTGCCGCTTACTGGACGCTGGTCGACTATAAAAAGTCGCACACGTATAATTTTAATGATACCTTTGTGGACTTGGAACATCTCCGGTGCGTGCTGATCTCTATTCGCGTTTGTGTAATAAAGTGCTTTACGTTGGAATGCAGTGCGAGCTTTCCTCGTCAGCAGATAGAGTTTGATTCTAGTGACCCCTCCGAATTCATAACGCCTCCTTTTAAGATCACTTTCCCCGCTCGCAGTCAGCCACTCTTAAAGGTGCGGCTTGCCTGTCCTTGTGTTTAGATACCTGCATACTATCCTTTTGCCTGCCAGGAGGGGGATATCCTTGTTGTTAAGCCATATAAGCACGTGAATATGGGTCCGTACCCCCAAAATGTCCCCCGCACGAATGTTATAAGGTTCACTCCAGTGCAAGTTGAGGTACTAATGAATTTTATGATAACTTACATAGTTATTTTTTCTTTTGCCTAAGGCCATTGTTTCTGCCATGTACCCTGGGCTCACCATGGTGGTCGGTCCGCCAGGCACCGGCAAAACTGACGTTGCCGTGCAGATCATATCCAATTGGTTTGTTACTACTGTTACCGTTAAGTTGTATGAACTAATAATTATTCTTTTTCTTGCAGGTACCACAACAACCCCGAGCAAAGGACTCTACTAATAACCCATTCGAACCAGACTCTTAACCAGGTAACCGGTTCTCTTGGATTTCCTTTTTTTTTTTTTTGGTATCTCACGCCTCTCGCTTTCGCAGCTTTTTGAAAAAATTATATATCTGGATATTGACGAGAGACATCTGCTCCGGTTGGGGATGGGAGAAAAAGATATCGATAGTAAAAAAGTTTTCTTATTGGCTCAGTTTCTGGAGTTTCGGGGTTTACTTTTTTTTTTTTTGCAGGTCTTTACTAAGTATGGTCGGGTCAATTACATCCTCGAGCGCCGCCTGTTGCTGGTAACTTTGTCTTTTTTTTTTACCCCTTCCAGTTTCATGCTTTTTTAGCTTGACGAAGTCCAAAGATTGGCGGAAAGCTTTGGCGTTCAAGGCGATATCGGTACCGTTATTTAAACGCGTTAAAAGAGTGTCCTCAAACAATTACGCAGGGTACACTTGTGAGACAGCTGGCTACTTTTACCTCTACAGTGTCCTTGCAAAGTGGGAAGAGTTCTTAAGCAAGGTCCTAACTTACCAACTTCTTTCTGCATTATGGATCTATCTTCACTGTCCTGTAGATCCGCCATACAGCGGAAGATGCTGAGTTGGTCTCCAAAGCTTTCCCGTTCCACAAGTACTTTGCCAGTGCTCCACAGCCTTTGTTTAAAAAGAAAAGTTTAAGGGAAGACTTTGAGATTGCGGAAGGGGTCGGGCGCGTTGCCGTGCCAATTGTTTATTATATAATGCTCTGCTTTTGTAGTGTTTTCGGCACCTTAAAAAAATCTTTACTGAGCTGGAAGAGTTTAAAGCATTTGAGATACTCCGGACGGGCTCGGACCGGGTGGATTATCTGCTCGTGAAGGAGGCAAAGTAGACTTGTGTCTTGCTCTTTATGATAACCGCGTCACCGCCGCTGTTTTGCAGGATTATTGCGATGACTTGCACCCACGCCGCCCTAAAACGGGCTGACCTCGTGAAGCTTAGATTTCAGTTCGATAACGTGCTTTTGGAAGAGGCTGGGTTTGCATTTCTCTAAGGCTTTTCTACTCTGCTTTGTTCGTAAAAAAAGTCCTCATCAGGCAAATTCTTGAAATCGAGACATTTATTCCTTTGATGTGTCAGAACCCTGAAGATGGACGAAACCGGTTGAAGCGGGTAGTATTGATCGGTACCTTGCCTTGTTCGGAGGGATCCACGGGCGATCTCACGGTCTTTTTTCCAGGGGACCACCATCAGCTGCCGCCCATTATTAAGAATCAGGTGTTTCAAAAGTTTTGCAACATGGAGCAGTCCATGTTTTCTAGGCAAACACCCTTTTTGTCCCGCTCTTTGACACCTGCATGAGCTATTCTTCTGTTCAGGTTTATACGGCTCAACGTGCCCGCCGTCCATCTCAATGCACAGGGCCGTGCTCGTCCATCCATTGCCACTCTTTTTCGTTGGAGATATCGGGATTTGGTAGGCCTTTTTTTACTTTTGGCGAACAAACTCTCTTATGCCATCTCACTCAATTTTTAAGGGGGATCTGGACCATGTCCACCTCGGCGACCAGTTTAAAACCGCTAATGCCGGTTTTTTGTATGAATACCAATTTATCGATGTCCAGGTTTTCCTATAAATCTGGTGTTTTGGTTTCTTTTGGACTTTTCTTTCTTATGAGGATCTTAACGGAGCTGGCGAGACTCATCCGCAGCCCTATTTCTACCAGGCGAGTTTTATATAAAAGCTGGGACGAATCGCTTACTTTTACCGCTGTTTTAGAATTTAGCGGAGGCAGAGTACGTTGTTTGGACTTTTATGTACATGAGGTCTTGTTTACGGCGCCTGACGGCTTTGGGTCCCCCCCACCCCAGTCGCTCATTGTATAGTTTGTACGCTAAGGCTTCTGGGCTATCCAGCGAAGGATATCTCGATCATTACGAGTTACAACGGCCAGAAGCACCTCATCAGAGACGTTTTGAACAGTCGCTGTGCGTGGAACCCACTCTTTGGTCTTCCTTATAAAGTGACCACTGTGGACCGCTATCAGGGTTGGCTTACTTTGCTTCCTACAATGATTCTGCGGTATACTTAAGCTCTTTACAGGCCAACAAAACGACTATATTCTGCTTTCCCTCGTGCGCACCAGAAATATCGGTCACATCCGCGACGTGGTACGTTTCTCACTTATCTTTGTCTTTTCATCTGAAAGTTTTGTTTTATTAGAGGCGTTTGGTTGTATCCCTCTCGCGTGCTCGGCTTGGGCTTTACGTGTTTGGCAGAGAGTCTTTGTTTTCAAGCTGCTTTGAGTTTCGAGAGCCGTTGAGACTTTTTAAAGAAAGACCTACCAAGCTTGTTATGGTCCCCTTTGAAATCTTTCCCACCAATCGACAAGTAGATTCGCGAACACTGTCAACTTTATAATATTACTGTATTATTTTATAAAGGTGGATGATATCATACCTCCTAATCATTGCAGAAGTATTAATGACGTTATAGAAATGGCCAAGGTGATATCTGAACTCCAAAAACAGTACGAAACACAAGCAAATAATGACAATAAATAAAATTATTAACATCACACCCTTTTTAATCATACACGTTGCGATATTTATTTGGACTCTACCATCAACTTTTTTGTAGATTCCGTTAGCCCTTATTTCTCTGTAAAATTGGTCTAATAAACTAGTGTACTCCTTTATATTATAACCTTCAAATTCAGCGGTAGGTTCACTACTGGAAAGAGGATGCCCACTCGCCCTTTCATAATAATTCATTTTATCCTAAGCCTTAATAAATAAAAGTTTTTAGGTACTTACTCGCAATAATAAGTCAACTATGAGCAAAAAGAAACCCTACAGAGAGTACTAAAGATTTATGCAGGTTTCGTAGGCATAAAAAGCCTGTAAATTGGGCTTAAGAGCACAAATTAATTGTAGAAAATAGGATTTTTAAACTATTATAAGCGTTTTGACTTTACAAAGGTCTATTAGATAATTGTTTTTTTTTGGTGCCTAGACTACCATAAAGAGATATATTATAAAATATGGAGGTAAAGGGTTCAGTAAAAAAGTTAATTATTTTTTAACGTAAAAGAATGCATGCTACAAAATTACCCCTAAATTTCATTCAATATACTTCACCAACTTATATTACAACTAAAATTTTAGTAAAAAACGAACTGAAAGCTTTCTTTTTAAGGCGTCTATGCAGCACAGCCAACACGACCACGCCACCCACACAAAATTTGTAATATAGCGTGCAACTGAGCCAATTCTTAAAGGACCTTTACTTTCGCGGGTGGGGCCGTGGTTCGTACTGTCTCGCCTTTGTTGTTCTGTACCGTAAAAAAATGAATGAAGAAGGCATGGAAACGGTAAATGCTTCAAATAAAGATCAATCTCCTAATAGTTGTTGTCACTTTTTTGTATATACTAGAAGCAAGATTATGAAGATGTAAGAGGTCTTTCACCCGAAGATGGTGTTTCTCTTAGGAATCTTGAATCTCACGACAAAGATATATTAGATAAACAGAAGCCCATGAAAACGGGTATTGCGCGTATTATGTATATTTCTTCATATTTAATCAATTTTATATAGCGCGCCTTGGAAGGAAATATTACTTTTTTTGTAATCTATTTTAGGCAAATTCTAATTTTGTTTTTTTGTCTCTTGTTAGATTTAACAAACAAGAGCAGAGGGAGACTTTATAGAAGTCGAAGCCGTGATGGCAGTTACAGCGACCTTAGCGGTGACGACGATCGACGAAGAAGAGACAGAAGAAGGGATAGTAGTTATAAGTACAAGGAAGGACATTACAGTTCTAGATATAGAGACGATAGAGATAAAGTAAGATTTCATCAAGGCAGAAGCTCCGAAAGGCAATCTTTTGATCGAGTGTAATTTTCTTTAACCTTTGTTAGTTTTTCTTTATGGTTAATGCAGAAGTCCGGCTGAAAATCCTGGGACCGTTTTATATGTAGGCCAGCTTTACTTCAAAGTTTCTGACAAATCACTTGAAGAGTTATTTAAACCGTATGGAAAGGTATTTGTATACTTTTCAATTTTTTTTGACGATTGAAGTTATACTGCGCTGTTGAGGTGCTCTCGTCTGTAATTCAAAGGGACAGGCAAACAAACGATAGTTTACGTTATGGTTTTGTGACTATGGAAAGTTCTAAAGATGCCGAAGTGGCTATAAAAGCTCTTAATGGCTCTACACCTGAGGGTTTTGCTGTCAAGCCTCTTATTGTGGAATTAGTTATAGTTGTGTTTTGATATATTTTGCGCCAAGCTCAGTAAGTCTTTTATCTGTAGGCCAAGAGATCTCATGGCCACGAAGCAACACCAGGCACATACAGAGGCCGTATATATTATTACTTTTTCTTCGTTTTTATATTTCATATCCTTACTTACAGACAGGACTTCTGGTGCGTCTAGCAGGTATCCCAGACCATCTTTTCACCGGCCCATGCCAATGCACAGAGTACGAAAAATCTTTGGGAACTATCTACTTCCTTCTTTCTTATGAACATCATTTTCTATTGGTTCTTCAGGATTTGGTTTACCGGGGACGTTATGGCGAACCTTATTATAGAGATGACTACAGAATCTATCCTGAATTATACAGTCGGAGGCAGCACGATTATGACTTCCGGAGGTGTCCTGTACTAGCTTCATGAGCACGGCATAGTTACTCATCTCTGACTTCCAGGGCGGATATGGCCCTCGACAGAAATCGTCGAGATCCTGTTGACAGGCGCAGATTTGATGGCCGTCCTGTTGTTCTTCCAGGGAGACACTCGCACTATGTCGGTGTTTTTTTACTGGTGGTTTTCGTTATATATAAACGAAAATTCGGCTCTTCAGGACATGCTTAGGGGCGACTTTCCGCCTGATCGCTCCTACATGAGAGACAGGGAGAGGCGTGGTTTTTATGAAGACAGGTAGACACTGAAATGTGTACACCTCAAAGTAGTGACTTCCCTTATTTTGCTTGCTTTACTTCGAAGATACCTTAAACATGATGGACCACCGCGGGATTATTACTACGACGATATGAGACTCTCTAACCCCCACAGTTTGGGAAGGTTTCCTTTTTGTTGTTAGAGGAGTGACTGCCGCATCGTTCAAAATCCCTCTCTTTCAGGATCCCGCCACCGCTACCTCAACGTCGCTACGATACAAGCGAGAGGCGACGCGCGTGACACCCTCCTGCACTCGCTTAGTACACTCGTTGTTTGGCCCCTGCATATAATAAAATGGACGCCCGTTCATCCACAACAACTTCTTGAGAACCCTTTTTATTACTTCTGTGCACGCGTCCGTTGCAGTGTATGCCAGCGATGAAGCAGCTTTTTTTATCGAGTTGATGAGCTTTAAATTTTTATTGAAGTATTTGGATGGCTATTTTGTAGCGCATTTCGCGAGGAGTTTTTGTAATACCCTACCAGAACGCATTTCTGGTGTATTCCCAGCATATTACTGTATATTTTCTTTGCAGAATTTATAAGACCCTATTTTGCCTACTGGATTAGCAGGTATATGAAAGTACCGTCTTTCGGTGTTGAGTTTATTTTATGCTTTTTGCCTAACTATCTTTTTTTTAAACTTATTACTGTTTTTATTTAATATGGAATACTTTATTTCATGCATAAACGAGTTTTTTTTGCACATTAGCTGCACTGCCTCGGGATGGCTAGAGAATGATTGGATGACTATTCAAGAGTTTTCCCTACTTACATCCTTATGTTTGTTCAAATGGCACTATTCATCTTCTAGTAGTTTTCCTCTTATTTTAGACCTTTTTTCAACTTTTCAGTGCCCTCTAGAATGTTGGCAGTATTCTTCGTAGGAGTTCCTGCGTTATATTTAAATATGAACATGAGACTGTTAAGCTTCAGAGTCGACCTTATATAACTATAACTGACGAACTCTATTCTAAGTTACAATTAGCTATGCATCTTTAAGTGTGTACCGTTTAGCTTCAAAGAGTTTGCCCGTAAAATTTACTTATAGCAATATGGAGCATCCAGTTATTTTACTGTGCCTTCTTCTTTCAAGTCGTTTTAGAGCTAAAAGTCGAGGGATCTTTTTACTTCAGAATTGTTGAACAAATGGTAGTTCATAGAGCGTCTCTTTTCTCAGCTTCAACCTTCAGAATTTTTCAGTTCTTTTAGAGTAAAGACAATACTTTGCGCGTTTTTTATCAAAATAAGTAAATACCAAAGTCTGCACTCCGGCACGCTTTATTTTAAATAGCCTTATGAATAAGGATCCTGTTGCAACTTTGAATACATTAAGTTGAGAACTTTACAAAAGAGCAAACTTCTCTTGAAAAGTTTAGTTACCGCCTTTTAAGTTGATTCGCATCTTGCGTAAGGAATTGTGGAAGGACATGAAGTCGTTATCACGAGTTAGAGCTTAAAGGAATTGAGTTGACAATAAGAATGTAATTGTAAGTTAGCGTCACTATTCTATCGTGATTTAATTATTAATAAAAATAGCTGCCCCAGCAGGAAAAAATTTCTGAGTTCATATAAACAAGTTATTATTTTTATGTGCACTACAGTCGTGGAATAGTGTGCTGCACGCTTTTTATCACTTTAACAATAGAAGAGTTCTTTACTTAACAGGGAAGGGTGCGCAGCATACGGAACTTAAAAGTAACCCAAAACTTTGAGTTTATATGTGTATTGTTCATTACCACCGGAAAGAGCGTCATGAGATTGAGATTACTGAACTACAAGAATTTTTACTTTTTTTTTAGTTTGTTAACGGGGGAGCATATGTTTTTTACTTATTTTAATTCAAGTTATAAGTTCTTACAATAGCTTAAGCTAAACAATGTCGACAGCTTTAAAAATTTTTGTGGTAAATAAGTTTTCTCAAAGATGTAACAATTATTAGATGAAATGTTTTATCTGGGACAAAAAAATTAATTTTATTTTCTTTTATACTACGAAAACTTGGAGTACACAACTATATAAAAATTTTTAAATAAGCAGCTTAGCATATGTGGCAACTCGATAAGCCTCTGGTCTCATTAAATCTCTGAGCCAAAGTTCTTAAATTTTTTTTTTAAAATAGCCTAGCCTGAGATGTACTGAAGACTCTTTCGACTTCGGTTTAAGCGGCTGTATGGTGTTCCTTGCGTGTATCGTCCAACAAGGAAAAATGGAAATAGTAGTATAATAAATATATATATAGAAAATTACAATTAGAGATAGCAAATGAAGCAAATAAGAGCTCACCTTAACCAAAACAATCGATGTCCACTATTTATTTAAAGGCATTTCCTGGTGTTAACAACATAAAATACTCGAACTCAAAGTCGGTCGCCTACAAGTAAGAGTTTTTATCTTAAAATTATATTTCGTGGTTCTTAGAATGCCTCACTTAGCTTTTAACTATCACGCCGGAAGGCAGTATGTAATAGGCCAGAAACTACCAGAAACCATATCATTTTCTTGAACCCAATTTTCTAATAATTATGTTATATGCAAACCAAAAATAACCTATGCAGATGACAATTTTGAAAACGCACTGGCAGCTTCCTATGCTGCTGCGCCACCAGCCGTAAAGTTGCTTATCGGACCGGTTGTATACCGAAATATCCAATGGGCCTTTTCGTCATCGTTGCCGGTTGGTACGCCTGGCCGCTACTATACAATACTCCGACGACAAACTGATCCTATGTTCGTCTTCACAGAGGTCTCAGAAAAAAGCTGACCGCTTTTATAAAAGCCACTGAGAGGCAAATCTGCGGGTGGAGTCTATAGCGACCGACACCATCTTTTTAATGCTTTAACTTACGAAATTAAACAAATACAATTATTCTTTTATTTCTCTGTTGTCTTATTACATTACCAGCATTTGGCCGACTTGAGGCTAAAGATCTATAGACACCTTACTATTTTCTATCTCCTAGTTTAATCTTGAACTATATATTTTTAATTTCTATTTTATAAATACTTATCTTATTATACATATCCCTTTTAATAAATATCTTTTTTCTTTTTCTTTTCCTTAACCTTAATACTGTTTTAATTAATCTTTTTTATTTTAAATTTTGACCAATTTTATTTATTAACCCCACTACAATCCACATACTACCTATGTGAGGTGGCTCAAATATCACGAAATCCATCACAATTAAGACGACGGCTAGTAGACATTACATTGGCCTTAATTACCCAAAAATTTTATGACAGCTTTTACGACATTAAGAAATATTTGAGTTCTAGGTAGTATTTCGGCGAGGACTTATAAAAATAATTATTATGATACAACCTAGGATAGACAGCCTCCACTTTAAGTTAATTTAAAAATTGAACAGTATAATGAGGGACTGCTCAGATGCTTGTAATTTAAAATTTTAAAAACCTTAGGAAGAAAATCTCATGTAGCAATTATAAGCAAAAAAAAAAAATACATGAAACTTGTAACGCAAAAAGGAAAGATGACGAGGTCATCCATCAAACTGTTAATCGTGGGACCACACATCTCGTATAACGCAATAAGCGGTAGGATAAGAAGTAGTAGTATTTATGCGTTCTGCAATATGTGGGGACCCTTTAAAACAAGGAAGAGTTAACAAGCCTTTTGCAAGCACAAATATATATAAAGTCAATACATGTTAAATAGTGTATAGACAGAACTATTGAGTAAACTGCTTGAAGAAAAGAGTGACCCGCGAATTGGGTATATTAAAAATACATAAAACTAAATGACCTAAAAATGTTGGGACACGTGGGCAAGAGTAAAGATCACACGAAGAGCAGAGCCAAAATTTCCTTTGTTCATGAGAATATATATTAGTGTTGAATCCAACTCAGAATACATTATAATTATTACGTTATAAATTGATGTTCTATAATAGTTATTACCTCACAGGGAAAAGAACAAGTTTAGCTGGAACTTAAGAGAACGGTAATTTTCGAACAGATGCGAGTATAGGATGTGAACAGTTGAAAATTTTAATAAAAGTTTAAGTTACATTCCCTTTTTGTTAGTTTAAACTCCGTTAAATAAATGACATAAAAAAGTAAGAGCGCCCCCCTTAAAAACTAACATCACATGGAGTAAAATGTTTGACTTTAAAAAAAATGTATCTTAGCCGCGTGCTAGTTGGTAAGCAAATAAATCTCTCCAAGGCCATTCTAAGTTTTGGTTTTCATTAATTCAAGTAAGCTTGATGTTAATTTATACGTCGACACAAACAGTAATAATAGTTAAATCCGTCTCACCAGGTCGAGAGTTGTAGTTGTAGCTTAGCGTATAAGTGGCTAGACGCGCAATCCAAGATTGTGGGTTGGTCCCACTGCACGACTCTTTTCCGGGTCTTTGAGGGGTAAAAATAGGTGGCAAAAACTGATTTTCTTTTGAGTTCTTATTATTAACAGAAGTGAAGAGTCTCATTACTTAAAAAAACCGGTCTATTTTCTCTATTTAGATTTTAAAGCTATTTTCAATAAGGGAAAAGGGAGGGAACATGTACTATATATTTAAGTAAAGGGTGTTAATATAGTTAATATAAACAGTTATATCGGTTGTATTACCACTAAGTATGAGCTTTGTTTAATTATTAGGGCAAAAAAAACATCGCTATGTAATATAGCCTCCGGCTATAATAAATTTATAAATAAAGGCTGACAAAGATATATAAAGTTTGATAGAGTCGAGAATCAAAAAGTTTATTAAATAGTTTCATTTAGGCTCATGAACCAGACGTTACCCTCCCTACGTTCTCACCAATTTTGGCGTGCTAACAAGAAATGTACACTTACTTTCAAATTAAATGGTTCAATAATAAGAGTTAAACATAAATAAATGACTTTTGCCGGTGACTACGTTCGTTGCTTGAAGTGCGAGTCATGTCGATGCCTTTAAGAAAACAAATCTTTGGGATAAAAAGGATAGTCTTTTTGCGCGTTTAATAGCAGGTACATTCAGCACATGACAGACTTTTGCTGGCAGACAACACTTACTGATAAGAGCCAAGCAAGGCCTTGTGTATAATTAAAAAGTTTGTGTAGGAGTATATGTGGATTCAGTTTCTTACTAGCTTTAAAAAATTTGCTAGTAGCGTTTCTATTTTAAACCCTAAATTAACGTAACAATTTTTTTAATTATAGACTATATTGTTAATAATTTTTTATTTTAACTTTGCTAAAACATAGAAAACCCTGTAAGGAAGCTTCCTTTCCTTCGGTTAAAAGTTTTACTTCCAATAGTATTTTTTTATAATTATTTACTTTAATATTTATTAACAGAAACACCTCCAACAACTTGATGAAGCTTACAATATTGCTAAACATTGCTTAAGATCTGCTTTTGACTCTCTTGGCGACATTAACTTGTTAGAAGAAACTGTAAACGACAGGGAGGTTGTATTATTGATAATATAGAAATTATTTTTTTACTTTTTAAGTCAATTTTTTTTTATGTTGTAAATATGTTTTTTTTTATCAAGTTTAAATTTTTATCGGAGAACGCTATCCACGCCGTTACCTGTTCGAATGCTTGCCTTTATTTCATTGGACTTTTGTTGTACAGAAATCTTCATATAGTGAGGAAGGGATCTGACTCCTTCAGCGTTACTGAGGTACTTTTTAGTAGATGCTAACTTTACTTTTTGCACTTAACACTTCTTCACTTGAAGACACAAAGGCATATTATAAAGTACAGTAAACTTTACTCGGCCGTTCTTAAAAGACATGTTCTTAAGTTTTATAAAAAGCAAATATGCTCTTACTGTGCAAATAATTTTTCAATATTTTTTGCCAAAAGTCAACTTCCTTGCTCTTTGGGCACTCAAACCTTGGAAAGAAAAGTTGGTTTCCCAAATGAGCTCGGAAAGATACATAAAGAAGCTCTCCGCTGTTTCTTGAAAGTTTTTTTGGTGGTTGCACGTCTATCGGAAATGTTATCTCAAGCAGATCTTCTAAGCGTTCTGGAAAACGTGTTAATTTCAGCTCTGGAGCTCCAAGAATTTTTTGTTATTGCTGCTTCTGACGAATATGATAAAAATTCAACGGGAGACCAAGATGACCTGGTACTGGAGCGTAGTAGCTTTTGTGCTATTCTGATCTTTGACGCAGGGTGAGCTCTTTATCCACGTGCTAGACTGGAGCATCGAAGTTGGCTTGCAGGACATTGAGGAAGCTTTAAGTTGCCTGTTGTGCCATCGCTACCGGTGTAGCACGGCACTGCTAGAAAAAGCTGGCAAAGTTTATTCCGTGCGAGGTGAGTTAGTTGGCGGCGGCTATATGTGCATGTATAAGGCTCCCATTTATCACACGCCCAGGATACGACTTTTATAAAAAGGGCTCGTATGAGATTGCCTGCCGATTGTTCTTGAAGTCTTGTTGCTTGTTCGTGTATCTGTAAGCGCCTCTTTCTATACACTCCTCCTCTTTTTATATTTGTGAGCCTCCTCAAGGGGTTCACAAGGGACCTATGCTGGCCCACTGAAGCTCGAAAAGCGCTTTCACACGCTGCTATGTTCTGCCACTCGATTAGAGAAACTCGAAAAGTTTGCTTCTGTTATCGTGTCTGGTGTATTTTTTATAAGCTTGTGTTCAGGCCATGCAGAGATAACTTTTATCCGTAATTACAGCTATAAAACTTTCTAAAGATATGTTAAGCTCTGTTGTGAATTTGATTACGGACGTATAGCTGGCCTTTTACACCTCTTTGTTGGTCTTTGCATTTTTTTATTTTTTTGGCAGGTTTTCGTTCAGAGGCAATGCATCAGCGGCACAGGCACTCGTGTTCTCTCGCAGAGCGCGCTGTTTAAGCTAATCAGCTTTGAAGCATGTGTATTGATATCGAGAGCAGAGCTAAATTCTTACGAGTTGCTTAGGTTGTGTTTTATCCATTACTTCAATAGCACCGCCCTCTGATTTAGTAAACTAGCGTTAAACACCCGGACAGACGTTTTCACTTTAGGAAGGTCAAGGAAAACATTATAAATAACATTCTTTCTTTTAGCCGAGAGCAGCTCTCTTGTAATGCCTTCCTCATTTCTGCGTTGTCTCGCTTATAATAAGAATTGTAGTGCATGCCACTGATAGCGATTCGTACGAAAGTGCTATTTGTGTACAGGCCGAAATGCTTATAGTAATCTCACCTGCTATCTCGCACAACTACCCCTGAACATTATTATCGTCCAATAGGAAAAGGCCCAACTGGTCGTTAGCAACCCAGAACTGTCTTCATGCGACCCGGAGTCCTTCTGCCTTCAAGCAATTACGTCGCTTCAGGCGCGTTTGATTGGTTCTGCTGCTTTTATTAACCTCGTGAAGATCTCACCAACCTTTCACTTGCTAGAATACGTAGGAAAGCCCGCTTTGCACAACTTGCTAGCCGCCGCTTATTTATGGAGAGCTGTGTGCCTTAAACGTCACCTTCCAGACGATGACGCTGGTGATAAGCAGGCCGGCGTTAATTTGAAGCTTCAGCTGACCGACTTTTTTGCCTCATTGAGCGCCTCACTAGATGTCTGGTGCTCAATTCTCGGTATTCTCCTTTCGACTTCTCAAGTATTTTTTATATATTTTTTCATCACTAGGCCACCAACTCAACATATTTAAAGACTGTCCTTTTGAGAGTGGTGGCAAATTTGGGACTTCTCAACACAGTTGGGTGGACTTAGCTTTCGAGTCCGCCTGCGGTTCGCCACGACTTGTTTTACTCTAAGTAAAAATATGCGAGTGAAAGTTTTCTTTCAATTTTTTGTAGATATTTCACTTTCGGCATTCAGTGGCTCGTTTGTAGATTACGAAAAGACTTTTAGACGATTGCAACTTCTTTTAGAATTGTGTTGTACTACGAATGGTTGGTAATTACGCGCTTCCCTTTTTTATGTCAAATGAAGACATACATCTCAGAGAGTTTGCATGAACGCTCTCTTAAAATTTTGTGCATATACTGCATCCTGGTTAAAAGGCATTATGGTAGGCGCTTTACACCTGCGCATTTTTTTGCAGACTTTTATATTACATATCTATTAGCTGAAAACTGTGAGAACGACACTGAAGCGGGTAAGCGCTGGCTGGAGAGGGAGAGTCTCTACTGCCTTCAACTCTCTCTACTGCACTGCGACACACGGCAGCTCCATTTTCCCGAGCCATCATCGCCCTGCGGGACAAATACCACATCTCCTCTCAGCCAACTTGACAGCGTGTTGGCTCTTAAAAATAAAATATTGACTTCCACCGTTAAATTTTATTCTTCGGAAGGTTGAATCTAGCTTTTTCAATTGTTGCTCCTTCTTTAAAAAATACGCTCATTCCACTCTCGTTTAGCCTCCTCTGTTTATGCGGAGGCTGTTCCTTTTGCCATCTTAGGTTTGTGCTGCAATGATTAGTGGTATTTCTTTCCATAATTGGACCAACATATACTAGGTAAGCGTGTAAATGCTGAACTCCTTGCGGCCAATGGCTGCCCGTCAGAAGCTCTTCAAGAATTTTCCGGTGCCCTTCGAGTTGTGCACGTCAAGAGTTCTGTGGGAATATCCGTTAATCTGGTAGCGCCACCGCCCCTCTCTGCCTACGCCCCCTTTACTCCGCGCTTCAGCAAACTCTTCGAGAGCTTACGCTGCTACTATTGGCTTATTCCGAACTGCTCAGCATCCGTGGGCTTGCCTGCGAAGCTTATTCGTGTTTGACTAAAGCCTACTGCCTTTCGAAGGCTCATACCATAATTACTTGTAAATTTATTAGAGTGCTGTACTTGCACAGGTGTAATGAATACTTCTATACCAGCCATGCTGCCCATTCTGACTGGTTTGTGCCACTTGGAACACCATCTCGGGCTAAAAGCCCAGAGAAAGGCTCACCGTTTGGAGGTGCGATCCTCTCGGTTGGCTCCATATTAGCATTGTCTCATCTCCGGCATCTCTAGGCCTATCACATCTATGAGCAGCAGTTGAAAGCCAACGAGGCAACGCGGAAGCTCTGTGTCGCGTACGCTGGGTCTGAGACACCCAACCTCTTTCTTGTAGACTGGTTTCTTTATAAGGTAAGCTTAGATCCGCCTGGACTACGCATTCGCCATTTTCTGAGTACTTCCTTGAGCTACGCGAGTTGGAAGACGACCTCTTCTTTGGCCAATTGTCCTCCGATGTGCATGCGGATGCTTTGAAGGATCTGGAAGGGTGACTCAACCATTTGTTATGAAGAAGTGTCCTTTTTTTTAAATTTAATTGCTTTTTCGGGTCAAGGCTGCTCCAGAGTTCCTCTTTCGTTCTCTTTCGGCCTCTTCAAACTCACTTGTCGCTTATAAAGTTGTTTATCAAATCCTCGAGTCATGAAGTATGCCAAGTCATTGTCCATGTAATATTCTTGATCATGGCTATATAATATTACTAGGAAGTTGTCGCAGACCAGATAAGCGATATAGAAAAAGCTCTGTCCTACGACTTTGCTTTATCCATCATCCCCGTCCCCACCACCTTTCGCCCTCTTTTTTATGCTCGTAGCTACCTACTTATTGGCCAGCTATTGCTCTCCTGTATTAGAGGACGGGCATTCTGGAACGGCTTTGGAAAGATTACTTTTTTATATTCCTCAGCGTGTAACTTATTCAATCTTTTTAGAACATTATGACGACGTTGGTGAGGGCGTGTTGCAGGCGAGACGGTATTTTCAGAGGTGTATCGAAGTTAGCCAGACTTATTCGGCATCCTCGTTGCTCACTAGCGCCTGTCTAGCACTTGCTCAAGTTGTTTTTTCTCTCGCAAATTTTTATTAGTAGTTTTTACATATTCTTTAGACCTATGCGAGTAGCCCCACGCGAGTGTGTGGGTTGCTCCATGCGGCTCTTGCTCCTTATTTTCGCCGTGAGGTTATTCTTCAGCTCAAACTATTGTGCTTTGATGACCACGCCATGTTGAGCAGCTGGCCCTCAAGGAAACCCTTAAAGAAAATGCTTTAGATCAGGAACCCTATTCTCTGGAACTGTCGGACCACAGTTTCCGGGAGAATATTTTAAGGTGCCTTCCTCTTAACTGGACTGCCGTGCTTGTTTCCTTCGACAAAGTTATTTTTATTAAGCCCATTCCCCTTCACGGCATTAATACCTGTATGAAGGTCAATCGCTGCCTTCTCTTAAGCCGTGTACGTGCTGGGTGGGAGCCCCTGAACTTCCGCATCTCTCTTCTTAAAGGTTTTTTACGGTCGCCCCTTTTGTTGCTCTACTTCTGTTCGAGTCTTTGCTAGACAATAAAGATCTCTATAATGAAATCACACGGGAGTACCAAAGCCTCATGGAGTGTTAGTTTTATCTTTAATATCTTGCCACCCACGCGATTACCTGAAGGGCAGGTATGGGTGAGTCGCTTGTGGTCGGGAAGGAAAGTGCTCTGGACAGAAACGTTAAAAAAGAATGGTTGTTTTTATTAGTGCTTTTTTGCTTATTGTGATTTAAAAAGTTGTCATTGAGGTGGCGAAAGAGGAACGAATTAGACCAGATGCTTGCTGTAACTCTCCGGAAGCTTGAGGATGAGTGGCTTGGGCCTTTCAAGGTGCTCCTCTGACGTTCACTTTTTCTCAATATCTTATTATTAAGCGCAGACTGTTCTGCTGGGCAAAGTCAACGACGAGTTATGGGATGAAATGGACCAGAAAGTGGAGCAGCTGTGCGTAATCCTAAAAAGCCAAGGGCTTGGCGAGTCTTTTGCTTCTGCCACGAGGTCCTCTAAAATTATATATGTATAATTTTTCTAACCTTTAAAAAAGTTTGTTTATTATTGAGTCCCACCAAAGCGGCCTTGGAGATACCGAGCTCCTCAACTTGCTGACGCGAATTTTGGGGGGAAACTTCTCGCAGACCCAACTTTCATTGGTACCTCTAAAGCTACCACAAATTTCTTATCCTGTTCTACTTATTATTAAAAAGATTGCGGCACATGTTAAGCGCATCAGCGACAGCCTTCCACCTAGCACAGGGTTGGTTTAAATAGCGTTCATATCCCAGTTAACAGCCTTTCATTGGGTACCAGAGCATTCCGAAGGCATGTGGTTTTGGTTTTAGATAAAAGCGTTCAGTTTCTCCCGTGGGAGTCACTGCCCATTGCAAGGGCTCATAAACAACCCATATCACGTGTCCCTTCGCTCTCTGTTTTGGTTCGTCTATGCCGGAGAAGGTGCGTGGGGTGTGAATTCCTAATGTTGTAAGACTCTTGTGAACCAATGATCGTCTGTCCTAATTGCAGATCAGAGCTTATAAGTTGGGGGATCGACTCCTCTAAGGCGTTTTACGTTATTAATCCGGACTTGGACTTGGCCAACACAGAAAAAGTCTTTGCGAAGGACTTTGAAAGGTTTCCTGTTAGCGTTTTGCCTGCCACTTCAAGAAACGTATCTGCTTAGGAGGAGATGGACTGGAATTGTCCACGGTAAACCGCGAGAGGAGCAGCTATCGGCGGCCCTTTCGAAAAAGGACATATATGTGTATGTTTCTCGGCTTATCCTCGAGTGGCGCTTCTTGGAGCACATGCTTAACTTGCTACAGTTATTGCGGCCACGGGAGCGGAGAAAAATACATTAAAGGGGAAGCAATCCGACGGGTACTCTTTGTCCCTCTCGCTTTTCCCGTCTTTCTTGTTACGTGGCGCACGGTGTGCAGATAGACTGTCGGGCTGTTTCACTCTTATTCGGCTGCAGTAGCGGGAGACTGAAGCAACTGGGCGATTACGAGCCGCAGGGAGCCGCACTCAATTACATGTACTCGGACTGCCCTGCTGTCTTAGGGCTTCTATGGGATGTCACTGACCAGGACACCGACCGTTTTGCCCAGGCACTCATTGTGCACTGGCTGGACGAGCACTTCTCATTGGGTCACTGGCTTTTTGGAGCGATCATATATTGTATACGCTAATAACGCCTGTCTTTAACGAGCAGCCGAGGCGTTGTCGGTTGCTAGAGAGTCTTGCAAACTGAAGTGGCTGACGGGTGCAGCCCCTGTGGTGTATGGCGCTCCCATGTATAGTTTAAATTCTTGAGGTTGACCCCGGGAGTGCAATCGCTATACACTTGGTCTATTTAATATCGAACACAACAAGAAAATAGCGTTTCAAGCCATATTTATATTAAAGCCGGGCGCGATTTTTTAGTTTATTAGACTTTTCGTGGGCTCTTTCATAACTTGTCAAATGCCCTACTTTGACGCATTATGAAAGGCTTTTATTGTATATGTCGCGCGTATATAAAGAAGCAACTTACTGCTATGTATAGTCCAATTTTACTTAGCCTTAAAGGTCTTTGACCGAATTCACCGTAGGAGGAAAGAGTAGATCAACCCTTTAACACTTTAGACAATTAACTTAACTACTAAAATAGTGAGGATTCCATTTACGACCGAGTGGCGAATAGGCAGCTCCAGCCTTACATTAAAAGTCGGGTATAAGAATATTATGTGCATGTTGCGACAAGAAGTTAAAAACTATTTTTCCATTACCTTTTCTGTCCACGCGCTATCCAAGTTTTTTGCAAAGTTAGTTGTGCAGATCAACACTTAATTGTCTTATCTTACTGACACCCCGGAAAACAACTTTTAAGTATGTGCTTTTTAAAGATATTTCTAATAAAATCAACATTCCTTTCTTGCTGGAAACTTTATTTATTAAAAAATGTCTTCAAGTTTATGATAAAGTTGTCTTCATTTGGTAAACGTGATACACTCAAGGAAATTCTAAGCTTGCGTAAGCAATTTTTACTACTTTATTAAAAGAGAGAATATATTTTTAATAGCGGGCTAAAGGCTATTCCTATTTACTATCCTTAGAACATTTTGGCGTTCTGAAGCGTTTGACCAAATTTCTATAGTTACAAAGTAACATAAAGAAGCACTCTACAGCTACGGGTACTTTAATATAAAAGTTTCAACTTATCCTCCCATCAAGCAATTATATTAAGGTTTAAAATTTACTCAATCGACATTTTATTTAAAACATAAACATAAGGATGCCTTAGTGATTGCTTAAACTTGGAATTTGGCACTGTTACTTTTTTTATAATATTTTATAAAATGTATATAGAAAGATTAAGAGTAATAAAAAAAGGGTAATAGGTTTTTCCTCATTTATTGTCTTTCCTTTTGTTTTTCTACTGCTTTTTTCGCTTACCTTATTATTTAATACTTAAAGGTGTATTTAGTTTACCAGAAGTGAGAACAATCTGCCTATCTTATTAGCTTAGTTTAACATGTATTTAATCAGCTCGCGCTAACTCTAGGAGTTTAACTTTGTAGTGTTTATAGTGTAGAGGTAATAAAAAATTTTGGCCCTGTCGTAGTACAACAGCTAGTACCTAGCTAATTTTTAATATTTTTATGTTTTAGCGTAAAGGTTATTTTTCAGACATTCTCGCACAAGCATGCTATTTTTTGCGTCTCAAAAAACTGAACGGTTTTCTACTTCTATAAGAGTTTTTCTATCAAAGTTCATAAGTGCCCAGCAGCTCTTCTTAGTAACACTACGTGCAAAAAAATTTGGGCTTATAAAGTATGCGTTTAAAAAAGGTAAAAGGATTAATATAGTAAAAGGGTCAAACCTAAATGAAAATGAAAAGCTTGCTTCAAGACCACTAAACTTTGCGCAAGGGTATTTCAAAAGGCGTTATTGTATTTTTTCGTTTTTCAATATAAAATACTATTCTGACTTTTTCAATAATTGTATTGAAGGCTCGTAGTTTTCAGTGCCAACTATTTACATTAAAACTGACATTTTGACTTCCATTGTTAGCTTGATTTTCTAACAAGACAATGACCTTTTATTAAAGTGTGTTAAGGTTTAAAAGATTAAAGAGAACCAAAAGAAAGGACAAAGAATCGGCTAAACAGAAAGAAACTCTAACTTTATTTTTTTATTATTACTATTAATGACAACATTTCTCCATGATACATTTGACAGAAATAAAACTATAGCGAGGTCTTAAAAAATATTAAATTATTCTAAAATTAACATGTAAGTCATATACAGCTAAATCCGATTATCTCTCGTCGCAATGGCTACTATTATTACTACCAATGCTACTATTTTTAGAATATAGTCATAAATTATAAATTTTATTAATAAACTATGGCTATGTACCCTATATTAGATTATCAATTGTAATTATTATTTTAAACGAGGATAGAAATATGCTTTGGTCTTCTGTATTTAGTATAAATATTTAAATAATAGCAGACTGTATGCCTAACAATTAGTTATCGTAGTCACCGGAATCCATCAAATCACTTTTTAGCTATTTCAGCACAATAACAGCCTAAAAATATGATTTTAAGTTTCGATGTAGTGAAAATTTGTGTCGATGTACCAAAATGGGTTTGTTAACATACGGAGGGAAAAAATATGTATAATTTCTAGTCTGCTAATATTAGTATTTTGGAAGGTGAAATCCAAGCAACCGGGGTATAGAAAATATTAGATCTTATTATCTAATGAGGAAAAATTAATTTTTGCGATTAAGTTTGCTTTCCCATTGAATAACGAAGTACAATACATATCCTTAAGTTTCAACTTTGTAGCTGTGTAGTTGGTGTGAGCATTCCAATTGAGTTAATAATCGATTACCACTAGGTATGGAAACTTTAAAAAGTTTAAAATTATCAGGGGTATCAGAGCTCCCTTTCTGCAATTAACAATGCGATACTTTTTTGAAATGTTGATTTAAACTTGCCACTCGGTATAATATACTCTTTAAGTACATTAAGACAAGGTTGCAAATGGTTGCATCCTCGGCGTATTGGGTCAAACAGCAGCACTGTGTCATAGATATATTGTTAATGAGTATTATTAAGTAATTTACTCTCTGTTTTATCAATCGTAGAAGTTCACCCAGCTCATATTAGATTGAACTATGATCAGTGTAGAGCTCGTGCACTGCTGCGATGGGTTATCGAAATATTGGTGCATTTATTAGTGACCATGTTTAGTGCACCGGCGACACCCTTTTTTAAAAAGATGCGTAGGCTTTGGGTGCGAATAAATGCGTTGTTGCTCTTTACTTCTCCAAATTGTACCATTTAAGTTATTCTTAAGACTATGCCATAAGTTATGCTTCCGAATTGAGGTCTCCTTTTAAAAGTACTGGGTTGGAGGTGCAAACTATTTTGATTAAACCTTTTTCTAACAGTTTTTTTATCAGCGGTTCGTAAGCAGAAACAATATTAAAAAGGCCAGTCTTTTGGAATGGTAAGTTTACTTCACTATTCTCAATCTTTTTTAAGAACGAATATTTAATGCAGGAGAGTAAATCAAGTTTTTTAATATGTAGGAGATACCCTTTTACATCCCATATATTCCCGGTTTTACATCTTATACTGTAGTTAGGAATAGTAAAAAGATTTTCTTCCTTAGGTTTTGATTTTTGAGATTAAGATTATATAAAAAATTAATCGAGTGTTAAAATTGTGTAAATCTTCTTTTTCCTGATACCACCTGCATCTCAGGAGAGGATTAGATGTGACGTAACAGTTCTCCTGGATGGTTCGTTTTCGGTTATTTATATTTTTAGTAAATCTCCTATATCTATAATAGCCTGTGTACTTCAGCTTTTATTAGTTACGCCACAACGTATAATTCTACACGCTTAAGAAAAAAATTTTGTATATACGATCCAATTATTTGATCAAAGGTAGGAGGTTGTACACTTCACCTCTAATTCCGTTAAGGAGCATTTTGGGGGTTAAATTATGCGACCTCTGCCTTGATGAGTCTGCTACTTATAAATTTTTATCATATTTAAGGATGAACCTAGAGTCATGGTATTAACACGATCTATTGCGATCTCGACGTCCAAATCGTCGAGAGAGACTTAACGCATGCAAGGCAACCTCCCTTTCGCGTGCCAAGGATGCACACTAAGGACACTGTCGATTGGGAATCATAAAGCGATCTTTACCAATGGTGTTAGTGCATATATTGGGGCGTGATCGACAAAAATTGTTGAAATTAAAGACGGTTTTCTATCTTCGAATTAGCATGGAAATTTTCCGAGAGAGTAATCGAGTCGGATAGTGCCACCCGCTTTTAGTTATTTGGACACAGCGCATGTTTCTGCTCTGCAACCCTTCGATGATTTAAATCTGGAGGGGGCCATTTCACTACACGGTACACAAAAGAACAAGGACGTCCTGCCAGTTGTACTAATTGCGGTGAATAGCACACGGCCACCAATCGTGGCTGGAACCGTTACCTGGGAAGACCTACACCATCCAATTACACTGCTCTACCAACGTTTAAATACAGACCCCTATTAAGGTGACTCCGACAATTTCTTATGCCGCTTCCTTGGTCACAAAGACCATCCCTCAGACAACCCCCCAAAACCACAACCAACTCTTCGAAAACTGCTTTTAATATCGACGACAAACCTGTCAACAACGTTAAAGGAGGAAAGTTCTGGAATCCATATGGAATGGTTTTTAGACCACAAGGACTTCGTCATACCCATCTTCTGTTCTGGAACGCAGACGGCGTCTACGTAAGCAATAATAGATGCAGCAGGAATTGATGCAAGGCGAAAGAAATTAATCTGCGTGTTATTAGTGAAATTCATCGTTCCATTAAATCTCTGCAACTTTTTTCGACGTACCACCAGGATCGCCTTGACGGGGGAGGTGGTGGAGGCGGAGCTATTTTGGTCACAAAAAACATTCTACAAAGTGTAATATATTCCAGCCCTGCAAAGCATGAAGGCGGTTGGAAGTTCCCTCCACTTAACCAGCCAGGGGCCCCAGCCGGTAAGTGCAGCTTACAAGTCTCCCCAGCATGCCACTTATTACCTCAGATCTTGATGCCCTTTTTTATAACTAGTTCCCCAGTTATTGTATGTGGGGGCCTTAACTACAAGCATCCCGCCTGGAACAGCCTCGTG